TGGTATCTCAAGACGTGCGATAAGTGGGACCATTTGGTGAAGTGACGGGTGGGTTGTGTGGGTACCTAGTGATGGGAGTGGTGTGGGTATCTGGTGAAGCGAGTGGTGTGAGTATCTGGTGAAGCGAGTGGTGTGGGTACCTGGTGATGTGAGTGGTGTGGGTACCTGGTGATGTGTGTGGTGTGGGTACCTAGTGATGGGAGTGGTGTGGGTATCTGGTGATGCGAGTGGTGTGGGTACCTGGTGATGTGTGTGGTGTGGGTACCTGGTGATGTGTGTGGTGTGGGTACCTGGTGATGTGTGTGGTGTGGGTACCTGGTGATGGGAGTGGTGTGGGTACCTGGTGATGGGAGTGGTGTGGGTATCTGGTGATGTGTAAGTGGGTGTGGTGCCTGGTGAAGTGGTGTGGGTACCTGGTGGGCAGTGGTGTGGGTGCCTGGTGATGTGAGTGGTGTGGGTACCTGGTGATGTGTGTGGTGTGGGTATCTGGTGATGCAGTGGTGTGGGTATCTGGTGATGAGTGGTGTGTGGGTACCTGGTGATGTGTGTGGTGTGGGTACCTGGTGATGTGTGTGGTGTGGTACCTGGTGATGTGTGTGGTGTGGGTGCCTGGTGATGTGGGGTAAGTGGTGTGGGTACCTGGTGATGTAAGGTAAGTGGTGTGGGTACCTGGTGATGTAAGGGGTGAGTGGTGTGGGTGCCTGGTGATGGGAGTGGTGTGGGTATCTGGTGATGTGTGTGGTAAGTGGTGTGGGTACCTGGTGATGGAGTGGTGTGGGTACCTAGTGATGGGACCTGGTGATGGGAGTGGTGTGGGTATCTGGTGATGTGTGTGGTAAGTGGTGTGGGTACCTAGTGATGTGAGTGGTGTGGGTACCTAGTGATGGGAGTGGTGTGGGTATCTGGTGATGCGTGTGGTGAGTGATGTGGGTACCTGGTGATGTAAGGGGTAAGTGGTGTGGGTACCTGGTGATGTAAGGGGTAAGTGGTGTGGGTACCTGGTGATGTAAGGGGTGAGTGGTGTGGGTACCTGGTGATGTGAGGAGTTCTTACAGTAGCCAAAGTAACTACCAAACCATGTGTGTGTGGCGAAAGGCAGATCGTGGTGACGGTATGTATAATACGGTAGTGCTGGTGGGAACGTTTACGCCCACTTCTCAGTCGAGTGCTGGAAAAGGGTCAACTTTAATGGACTTCACCAATCTCATCTACAGCCTCAAATGATCTCTATAAGGGTTGGCAAGTTCTCTCTCTCTCTCTCTCTCTCTCTCTACGAAGACCTCCAGCTAGTAACGCGCAGCTTCGTACTGCACTGAGCTTGGCATTTTTCACAGCTCTAACACCTCTTGATTGAGATTAGCTGTAGCTTGCTGGTAGTTGTAACATTATCTGTGTTAACCTATTGTAGCATTAACATTTCTTCTTCTTCTTTTGGTTAATTATTAAGATTAACAGTTTAAGAATGAAAGTTGCCTGAGTGAACATCTGTGAAACTCAGGTAGACGTGTTGGAAGGAAAAATTATGATATTGAGGAGTTAATGCATTAATTCACTTCAATAACTAAGGTCTTTAAACGCGTATGCCCTTTTAGTTTATATACACGAATCATCAACAATTAAAGCGTACGAGAGATGCTTGTTTGGTTAGTTTTCATGTTTGTATAGTATATTAACGACACTGATAACTATTTGGCAGTCCATATGGGTACGAATTATTATTTTTATTTTTTTTTTTACTGAAGTATGTCATTTGTAGCCGCCAAGAAGACCAACGTTAGTTTGTCTCTTACAACTAAAGTATGACATCTTCGCGTGCTTTTGAGACTTGGTTTACCGGCCACTTAGAGAGCTTGGCTTACTGGCCACTTTTGAGAGTACTTCAGAGTCCGTACACGGTCTCATCCACTTGCACCGGGAGTCAAACCACACAGTGAAATATGATACGATGGGTGTATTCCCTTTTGAGTCTGCCTGCCGGGATGTTTTTTCATTGGTGGTAGATGTACTTTATATATAATCTAAGGGGTACTAATTATCACTCTGCCTATAGCACCCATTCATATCTCCCTTATATATGACATCTAACTGACAATAATACGATTTAACTGTAGATATAAAAATGACATTATATACGATAAAGCGAACTATATACATAGGTGTTCCAAAAAGATCTGGACTGCTTTGGTTGATAATATATTTAGAACAATAAATGATAAAAAGATACCGTTTGTTTTATATGATACTCAAACTCGTAAAGTTTTGTGCACATTAGCGATATATTTCACTACTATTCTATCCTGTCGAGAGAGAGAGAGAGAGAGAGAGAGAGGGAACACACGTTTGGTTTGGCTTAAAATTTGTATGCCAGGAAAAAAAAAATGCATATCAGCGAAAAACACTGAGCGCATAGTGAAAAATATTCAATAATTCATGAATCTCGTAAATGCGAAAATACTTTTAGCGGCGGTACAGTACAATGAGTGAGGACTGCCAGTATTTGAATCAGTTTTTTCCACCATGAAGGACATACACAGAAAGCTGTTTTGTGCATACCTTCACCAGGGTAAATACAGACAAGCAATTTCTCACATCTCAAAATATTTACCATCTAAGTAGATTTCGATGTTGAAGAAATAGTATAGAAACTTTTTTACTGTCTTATTTATTTTTCACTTTTCTAAACCGGCTACTTTGTACACGGAAGAAAAGTTTCCAACTCGAATTTTTTAATTGGCTACAGAAGAGTAGCTCTGTTTTCTGTGCTGAACAAAGATATCCTCACCAGCACAATACTTGGACTCCACTAGGTTGTCATTGTTGTCTTCCGTGATAACATCTCTGGGATCTGTTAATGTTACAAGGAAATTTATTGTTCTGTTCTTTATTAATTTTAATTGTTCCTCATCTTGCTTTATTCGTATTGAAAGAATGTCTAACATTGTATTCCTTATTGACCAATCAAAAATTAATTTATCTTGTTGTCAAATTAACTACAACTTAAACAAAAGACTTTGACACTGTTGATTAAAGTTTATACGTTCTTATACTTGTATTGTTTGGATGTAATCCTCAATAGTATAAGTCTAATGCAATGAAATTATATTGTCGTAATACTGCCGTGGTGATGACACTGCCTGCTTTTGACAGTAGAGTGTCTGAGAGCCAAGTTATCAAATCCCTTTCCGTTTTACTCGTAAACTTGAGGCTAGAATGCTTTGGCTTTCGTGGTAGGAAATGAAGCAAGCGAGTTACTTAAATTCTTGAAAACTGTGTATAGGGAACATGATAATAAGATAAATGTAGGAATAAAAGGAGAAGACGAAATAAGTTTAGAGGAGAGTAAGACAAAGTGAGATCATGTTGACAAAGCTTTTAAGAGAACACATGGATGCTATTACTGTACAGTCAGCCCATAAAATACACAGTATGACATCGCGAGCCTTACACAATGACACACTGGGTCTTCAATACTACACGATAGGTTATTAAAATTACATAAATGGTGTTCAGTATGATATAGTGGATATTCAGTGTGAAATAATGGGCGTTTAGTATGGCACAGTGCATCTATCATGTGGTTACCATAGTGTCCTGTCCTACCTGGATGGGTCTAATGGCTCGCGAGACTCTTCTTGTTGCACCGTCTTGTACCGTCTTGTACCGTCTTTTCTTCACAATGTCTGTTGAGATATTGAATTTTTTTTTGTGTGAAGTCTTATAGAATTTTTTATATGGAATACTCGGTAATTTTATCACATGATAATTGTATTACACATTAAAGTACATATATAAATGTAATAGTATGTGAATGAATTTAGAAGAAAACACCTAAGGAGCAGAGGCTGGTGGTTAAGGGCGTGAGGTCTTGTGCCTTTACATCACAGAGAAGCGAAATTACCTTTGCCTTTGAACAGGAAAATTCGGCCCTGTGTGTGTGTGTGTGTGTGTGTGTGTGTGTGTGTGTGCGCGCGCGCGCGCGCGTGTGTGTGGTTATAGTTTGCTTTTATTATGTGCTTTCTCCATTTACTAAGACTTGAGAAAATCTTCCTTGTGACCAAACCTAACAAGAAGCGTTATTTTTCTTGTTTATTAGAACTGGCGACTGGAGAACAAGGTGGGGTAAGATTGGAGGAATGGGAAGGGGGGTGTAGAGAGAGGACTGGATCACTACCTGGAACAGTCTAATAAACTTTGCTTATTGTACTGACCAGTGTAGATCATAGTGAAATATAAAACTCGCCCCTCCAACTAAAATAAATAAATCCTCTATCACCTCTTAATACGAAAGCACAAAATGTTCAGGTATATTTTACTTACTACCGAAACAAATGTATCTATGTTGTTTGTTTCAGAAGAAAAATACCAATTAATAAGAACGAATCAGGTGTCGGAACTGCTGCACGCACTTCGTTGAATTAAACATTTGTCGTGCCACATCTGACACTAGCAGCAAAGAACCATTTGCTGTGTGTCAGTTTATGGTGCGTTCCTGTAAAACATATACAGTATTTTATTGATCGTGTGTTTCAACTTCTAATACAATCTAGATAAATTTGCCTCATAATCTTATACCGTATAAATATAAAATATTTGTATGAAAGTTTAAAGAATATACCTACAGATTAAGCTGAAGTATATAGCACAGAAAACTTGTAATGTCAAACAAGTCAAGATATGAACATCTTTGGTGGGCAATTTTCATATGGTAATGTAAATATATTTCATTCATTCACTTTATAACGCAAGACCCCAAAATAATGTACATGTTAATAAAAAAAATCCATTCAAGGTTAGGAAGACATAATTGCTGGCTTCTGGAATGGACAAATTGTGCAGGAATTGTTGGTGAAAAGCTTTGAATGTGGTCTTTTTATCGTGAGCTTTAGTTTGATTTCTATAAAGTCAAGCAATTAATATTCTATAGGGCTTTCAAAATACATTTATTTGCAAAGTAATATAAACATGGACGAAAAGTTTGAGGATTACCAAGAGAAGAAAAATTTTAGGTTAAAAACTTTATTAGCTTGGACAACTTCAAAATTTACCAAATAAATATAAATGTCATATTAGAGTCACTCTCGCCATGCAGGTTATCACAAGTTCTTTTCTCATGGTTAATTGCTGGGCCAAAATACCTCATTAACATTAGTTTTCTCACACAGTCGCTTTCTAAAAATAGTATTAAAAAGTACTAAAATTTCACTTCGTACAATGTGTGTATGGGCTGTCGCAAGGGTGGTCTTATGACAATATCTATCATTACCTGGCAAGATATGGGTAATTGCGACGTTTGAGTACCCCTAACAGTTTCTAATGCAAAACAGTAAACACTCATTAGAAATACAATTAAATCATTAGCATTGCAAGTAGAGCTTTAATAGGCAACAGTTACAGATAGTGTGGTTGTCATTCTCAGAAACTGTAAATTACGAACAGTCATTGAGTTAAAACCTAGTGTGTATTATGATGTTAGTTCTTGTGATAAACATTGACGATGGTCTTCTTGAAGTTAGGAAGGCTGTGGAAGATGCGTTCATCATCAACACGACGATCCAGGGGGTATCCGTGTGGTCGTTTGTCGGGATACACTCCTCCATAGCCGTAGTGGTTGAATTTGGTGTTTGTATGTAAATTATCTACAGCTGCGTCAGCCTCGCCATCGGTCACAACCACCACCAGGTCAAATTCCATACCGTTCTGTTGACCCTTGGGGAGCAAAAACCTGCTGGGCAGCCCAAGTGCACTCTCGTACTCATGAAGGTCCAGCTCGCTGCCTGAGGAGAGCGCTTCGTCAGCCTTCTGCATCAGTGACTGGAAACTGGGCACATCAGGAGCAGTCAAAGACGACTCGGTGGATTTTCGGACAACGTGATTTGAGCCAGGGTTCACTGTTGAGAAAAAAGAAAAACATTTTGTATCTACATATCACATCATTTGTTCCTTTTTCCTTGGAATATAAGTAAATTGTTTAAGTAGATATTCTTTAATATTCAGTGCAACAAATTATTTGATAGTTTTGTATATTATTGACAGAATAATCAAATGTTCACGTGAAAAAGATAAGCAAGGATATAACTTACGTTTCCTCCAGAATCTGTCCAACTCGATGGCATTCCAGCGCCCCTCGTTGAAGGTATATTGAACGCCGTTGTTGTCAAGGTGTGGCCAGGCGAAGATACGGACAGTGGCTAGAACTTCGTGATCATTATTGTTATTGACGTCGATATCGTAGCTAAACTCCTTGTGATTCAAACGTGATACAATCGTAGAAATGTCTACATCATCGACTTCCACGGTATCATCCACAGCATTGAGTAAACTGTATTCAAAATCCTCAAAGTATGTCTCCAGTGTGCCGTCAATGGCAATATTTTCTATAGACACACCACTGAACTCCAGATGTTCCTTAGTATAGGGTGTAAGACTATCCTTATGTGCCTTGAAGATGTTGTCCATGTATTTGTGTAACCTGAAGAAGGTTGGGTCACGAGTGGCAGTTTCAAAGTGTTCCAGTACTCCAGGAGGCAAGTCAAATTTTCCATGTGGATCTCCCTGGCGTCCAAGCATTATGTGAGCCATGTTGTGCAGAGCCCCGTAGTACTGAGGGTTAGGACTGTACAAAGACGATTCGATAACATCACCCAAAATATCTACACCACGTTCATTGTTGATGTCAATGATAGAACCATCCCTGGCAGTGACATACCCATGAGCAATAGCATCGATAATACGGCTCTCAGTAATGAGCATATCACGAACACGGGCAACACCGTCCACGTCCTCAAACAAGATGTCGTCAGGTCGAGAAGGGAAGTATCCACCATACTTGTAGGTTGAATGAGGAGCAAAACCTTCTTTGATGGGTTTGTCCCAATGAAGTTCATCCACGGCATCCAAGTAGTTGGACAGACGCTCGGCATCGAAGCGGACGGTAAGTTGGTGATGAACCCAGAAGAAGTTTTCACCCTTACGTTCCAGATGATGGCCCTCATGTGAGTCGTCCCACCAGAATGGGAATTCCATGTGCCAGGTAACGTGGTGTGTGTTCATGCCAACGTCTTCACCAAAGTAAGCTACACGTTGTTCACGGTTCTTTTTGCTACCAGTGAATTCTGATTTAAATTTACTAGGTGTTTGGGTCATCTTGGCATGATAGGCTTGCTGGATTACTTCGCCATTTGTAAACATGTGTGGGGTGACTTCGTAAAGTGGAGGGAGCACAACGTGTTCAGCCAGGGGAGAGTGGATAATAGAGGTGTACATGGCGTAGACAAATTCTCCTTCATTCACGCGGTCTCGGAAATAAGCAGCATTGCTGATGAAGGTTTGCCAGTCATTGCAGTGTTCCAGGACATGATAAAGCATAAGAGCTTCTTCACGTTGTCTTGTGTTAAAGAGAGAGAACCAATGCTTCTGCTCCAATAGGTTACCAGCCTTCAACTCTCCCAGAAGCTTATGGACAGCATCTCCCCCATCAGAGTAGTGGGATGTATCAGCTTCTGGGTCAAAGGTGGCCCCAAGATTCTTCAGGTTATCATCACGAAGAACTTCATATACCTTAAAGAGCAGATAGTTTACGTCGTGTTGTTTTTGTGCTGTAGACACACCTGGAAAAATGAAAAGTTCTTCATCTAATAAAAACTGGATAATCATTACAATGCAGAGAACAGAAACTAGTTTTAGAAAGTAAAGCCCAATATGTACCAGAACATTTAACATTGAAGTAATATGATTAAATATACAAACAGCATTTTTCCTTAAGTGATTAGTTGTTAAGTTATGAAATAATTCTTTCAACACTGAAATAGTTATCGTACAAGTTTTCTATTTGTTTTAAGTAAAGTTAATATCACCATAACTTAAATCAAAGACATAAACCTCACCAAATAGGTATCACTATTCTCTGTCGTACTCCCTTACACGGCTCCACCACCATTATAATTAATGTTCCAGCTGATAACTGAGACTTGTACTCAAGATACGACATTCAGGTGTCTATACTAACAGGAAAAATACCTGTAATTTGAGCATAACTTGACCTTGATCAACAAGATGGGTATATGGATTATGTTACTTATGATGCCCAGTAGCTAAAGGCTTTTGTTAGTCCATGCTGGTCCATTTGTTTCACGGCGGAATCCAGATATTTGTCAATTTTATTTGGTATTAATTTTGTGGTTTCTTGTTTGCTGAGCCTAATGTTGACGTAACTTTATGTTCTCTCGCGACGTAAACCATCCAACCAGGTTTCGTTTTTCTTGAAAGTCAAGCATTTTTTTGTCTTATTTTGATAATATATTGAGCTATTTTTAAAGAAGTGGTGATTATTATCAAATATGTGATTGAATATTACTTGTCATTTGGGCAAGAAAGAAGATTAATATTTAAAGAACCATCAGTGTTGTTCTACTAAAATTCTTAGAATGTCAGTCAAAACAGAGGAATTAGTTAATTAAAGTTTGTGTTACAACGACTTTTTTCTCCGAACTTATGATAATTTTAAGTTACGGAACATGGAAAGTTAACCAGGTGCACTCATTTAGTTAGTAGCTACAGGTAGATAGATGCCTCAAGTATTACAAAACATTTCTGACTGGATTTACTAGTTGTTGTGAATGTTTATGATAAGTGGGTGATGAAGTCAAGATTTTCAAGGAATTCACTAGTTACTGTAAGAGATATAAAGGAAAAAAATACAAGTATTTTTATATAGATCCTCGAAGGTGTTCGCCGCCAGGAGAACAGTTAGGTATAATGTTACTGTATTTAAAAATAGTTCTAAATGACCCCCCCCCCCAAAAACAAAAAAAAATCCTTGATGCACACTGGAAAGCTAACCGGGTGCTTCATGCTTGTGAGTTATGCCGGACATCTTGGTAACATACGAAACTAACTCCACAGTACTTTAAGTGATGGCACAGAAACACTATTCAAGTGGTGATAAACTCGGAGGGGACATTTAGGTCGGGGAAGGTGAAGCACCTTATCAATGAGGTTAATGTTCTCACATTTTATCTATATATCAGTGTTATAAAACCTTGTGCAGATAGTAGTATTGATCATTGGTATTTATTCTTCATCTGTGATTTAATTATCACATAGGATGTCAACCATGGCTCTTACCACAGCGAATAAGAATATTTCGTTAAAGCCATTCTTTACGTATCTATTGAGTTGAATATTATCTCGCCTACTGGTCTAAGTGTGTGTCATCGTTGTCTGCACAGGTTTAGAGGTGCTGAGAGAAGTACAATTACATGTCAAACAAATAAATTATATACAAAATATATTTTTTCCGCAATTTTAATAATTAATTTAGAATAGGGAGAAAGGGTGACCATATATTTGTGCGACATTTAAAATACCAGTAACGTCAAATTTATTGTGGAAGGCTGTTTACTGGTGAGGGTTGATGCTGCTCATGCAACAGTACACGTCTTGTAAATGTAAATCTAATAGGTTTCTCTGTCTCAGTTGTAAGGTGTTTCATCATAACTGTTCAAAACATATTAAAAGTATTTAAGGAATAATAAATTTCCCTAAGTTGCAAGACTCGTGTATCATAAGTCACTACAACCTGCCATCTCTGAAATTACAATGTGATTTTATCATTACCAAATTATACTTATTTCATTACAAGTTCTTGGGGTTCGACTGAAATGATTATACATCTGTAAAACTGATTTTATTACTTTTTTATGTAATTTCAGTTAAAGGCACCAACGGAAGTCTCAGTAAAGTACGTGGCGTTATTTTGTGAGGGCCATAGGTCAGTGTCACCACAACAACCATTTTTGTTTTCCCATACACTAGCCTCCACAGTCTGCCAGTTTAGCAATGATTGGTTGTCACCATTACCTCAACTAACACTGTCTTCTCTCTGTCTCTCCACACCACAGCAAGTTTCGTGGGTACAGCTATGTTAATCTTTTCACCATAGGTATATACAGTCATGTCTGTACACGACTAAAATAACAAGTCAATAATGTACTCACTAGGAGGAGCGTCGTTCTGGAAGCCCCAGCTTGGAGAGGCGGCAGCAGCAGCTACAAGAGCACACAACACCAGGACCTTCATGATGATGATGGTGAGCTGCTGACTGTCGCGCCGGGCTTTATACCCAGAGACTCTCACTCGGTTTCATAACACTCGTGGTGCCTCCGTGATAATGTTCCTATTGTCACTCAAGGTATTGGGGCCTAAGCCGCTGAAGCCGAGCTTTATCAGTACTCGAGTGGGCAGAAGATTATAAATTTTGGTAGAACCGACAGCCTTAACACGCAACAATACTCTACCTCAAGTAGGGTGTCCTTAGTTGTCTTACGCCTTATGATATTCAGGTTATTTATGACAAATCTTACAAAAATAAAGAATAAAAAAAAAAATCCTAGACGTGGAAGATATAGTACTTTTATATCTTATTGTTAAGAATCAGTAGAAAGAAACTATTAATCGTAGTAATAAAACAAGATTAAGAGAGATAGATATTTGATGTATCGTATATTAAATTTCTCCAGAGATCTAAAACCCTAATTAAGAAAGTTAAATAAAGATGCAGTGAGGAATAAAAAATTATTATTATAAATACCTATGAAGAATAAGGTGGTATTGTATTTATAAGATTAATAAACAATATAGCCAACAATAATGATTTGGATCGGTTTTTTTACATCTTAGTGATAATAATTGTATTTTTTTATCTAATTTTACTTATTCTTATTTTTGTAATTCTTCTTATCAATTCTATTAACTCTTCTTTGCCTTGAAGTCGTTTTTATCTTTCTTATTACTTATATTTTTTGTATCCATAGTAAATACATCAGCAAGTGTCTCCGTATTTTGATTCATTCACATTTCCTATTCTCCCCTCTCGAGAAGTTCCTTCCTTCTTCATCCTCTTTACCTCCTGATGAGTTCCTTAGTTGGTTTCTACTTGTCGTTCATTACTCGTCTTGTTAACGTTCATTACACGTCTTGTTAACGTTCATTACACGTCTTGTTAACGTTCATTACACGTCTTGTTAACGTTCATTACACGTCTTGTTAACGTTCATTACACGTCTTGTTAACGTTCATTTCAGGCGTAATAATTTGCCCTCTGACGTCCTTCAATAGGTCTTTGACGGCCTTCCCACACCACCGCCCTCGGATATTTTTACTGAACGTCAACCTCATCTCGCTCACTTTGTATCCACGTCGTCCACCCTAAACGGAACTCTTCTGGTCTGTTTGTCTCAGTGAACTCTGATCTTATATTTCTGTCCTTCTAATTATCATCACTTAAAACTCTTTGCCTCTTCTCATAAGGGACCTCTCCTTACCGTCATTAAACTATCCTTCTTACCCTATCTCCTTGCCCCTCTTGGTATATTCTAAAACCTGATTTGTCTTCCTTCCCTTCCTGGCCTTCCTCTCCTCTTGGACCGAAGAATATTGGTCTCTTAAAGCTTACAGTGAGGTCTTTGTGACGGCTGTGCTGAGGGAGAATGGAGCATAATTGGCCTATCTCCCTTTCATCAACATGGGAAATACTGGTGTCTAATTCCTGCCATCCAGCATTTTCGGCAGCAGTAAACCCGCATACTCTACTTATTGAAGACTTTGAGTTCTTTCAGCCCTGGTGCACACTACAACACTTAGGAAAGTCGTCGCTTAAAGGAAGAAAACATTGGTTTCGATTTACAGGATCCTCATACTTCCCCAGGATGTATGAGAACGATTTACAACATACGCAAGGTCAAGATAACCATTCTGACCCAGTGGAAGGAGCTGCTTCCTTCATCGCAGTGTGGAGGCGTAAGTTCCCTCCTTGCTGTCTGTCACCATTACATTAATCAGCCCAACTGACACTACAATTACCCACCATAAACGTTTTTAATACAGCACTCAACATTGGGACGGACACCTCCCCTATGGTGAGCGGTCGACTGCGCGCTCTACTCAATGCCTGTACTAGAGTGCCCAGGACTGGAGGATTGTAACGATAATCACTATCACGAAATTCAATGCTCCTGACACCAATGGTTCAATCAGTGTGTTAAATGTGTTTGCAAGATAATGGAATGGATCCTCCTCCGACACCTGCCTTACGTAATTAGTCATCTTTCTGTAACAGTGAATGGTTTTGCCTCAGATAAGAGCATTGCTCATGCCATCATTTATTTTCTTGGTTCACGGAGGTACTTGACACGGTGCTGCCGGATATTCTACCTGCAAAATTAACTTGCCGGGGGGTTATAAGCTGGCTTTTGCTCTATTTATATTTTCTCATATCAATGATAGGATCACCAGGCTCTGATATAGGGAACCACAGGATGGGGTGCTTGGCCCCACCTTATTCAACCAACTGAAGTCTCTTGCAGTCAAAACAAAATCCCGGCTTCGGCCCCACCGAGTGTTCCAAGAATTCCATACATTATAAATAATTTTATTAATCACCACAACCCTACAAGTAGGTAGTGATGATACAATACAAATTAAGGGAGATGAAACATCACACTCCTTCTAATATTCTTCCTCAGCCATAGAGCCATAGTCTGCATGTGACCAGAATGGCAGCTTATAGACGCCGAGTCGCCGGAAAGGCTCGTGTTCTGGTGCATGTTATACAACTGATCACAGGACACACTAAGACGATAACATCAGCTGCATGAATAAATACAAAAGTCATTACATGTTCGGAAATATTTTTTTTTAATTCCCCAAGATTGGTTGAGTCTCCACAACAGAACTGGTCACATATTTCTTTTCATTGGATAATACTTGTGGAGTAGTGGATACTTGTGGAGTAGTGGATACTTGTGGAGTAGTGGATACTTGTGGAGTAGTGGATACTTGTGGAGTAGTGGATACTTGTGGAGTAGTGGATACTTGTGGAGTAGTAGTTCATTATTATTATTTGATGGGGCACTGTGCAGCATGAAGCGATATTAACAATAAACGATATAATCTCTTCTTCTCTCAAGTCCTCTGCGTCCCAGACACTCACCATTTGGTAGTAATGATGGTTGTGGTGGGAGTAGTGTGTGGTGGTTGTGGTACTGGTGGTTGCAGTAGTGATGGTTGTGGTGGTGGTGGTAGTAATGATGGTTGTGGTGGTGGTGGTAGTAGTGGTGGTGGTTGTGGTGGTGGTGGTGGTGGTAGTAGTGATGGTTGTGGTGGTGGTGGTGGTAGTAGTGATGGTTGTGGTACTGGTGGTTGCAGTAGTGATGGTTGTGGTGGTAGTAGTAGTGATGGTGGTGGTGGTAGTAGTGATGGTTGTGGTGGTGGTGGTGGTAGTAGTGATGGTGGTGGTGTGGGTGGTGGTGGTGGTGGTAGTAGTGATGGTTGTGGTGGTGGTGGTAGTAGTGATGGTTGTGGTGGTGGTGGTAGTAGTGATGGTGGTGGTGGTGGTGGTAATAGTGATGGTGGTGGTGGTAGTAGTGATGGTTGTGGTGGTGGTGGTAATAGTGATGGCGGTACTGGTGGTAGTAGTGGTGGTACTGGTGGTAGTAGTGGTGGTTGTGGCGGTAATTATATAATGGTAAACACTAAAATAAACAATGTGACTTTGAAGGATAAATTTACCACAAGATAAATGTACCCCAGCTACTGGATGGCCGGGCCCTAGTGTACACGGCGGCTGAAGGTCGATAATGGGTAGAAAAAAACAAACCTTTTTGATGTTGGTAAATATACTGTACACGAGATAAGAAGCACTTCATGGTACAATAAGTTATTATATTTCATGGAACAGTTCAGTGAGTGGGTACAGTTGGTCCCATAGGAGAGTAATCACATAAATATTGTTTCATGGAACATTACTGGCATGATCTGTTTCTATAAATCAGGGTTGTGTGGGAGGATGTATACTCGGCTAAACTGGTGTACCTGAAGGGACTAAAAAACATCGTCAATGTCTTACAAATTAAACTGATGTTATAAACAAGATATTTTTTATCGAAACAATACACATTGGGTAGTTTTTTTTATTACTCAGATGTAATAAAAGGCAACATGCTCGGGTAATATAACAATAATTGATTAAGAAAAAGAACCATGGCTAGATGGAGTTGGGTAGAGACTTGATCATGGAGTCTAGTTTGTATTGTAACGTCTTGAGGCCAGTCGTGTAGATGCTCACACACACTGGCACTTACATGTGTTGACCTGTAATTCTCTTTCTACTTATCTAATACTGGAATGACCTAAAAACATTTCATCTAACAATATCGGCAACTATTATCTTGAAGATTTAGTTCACCATTAAACGAACCAACGCTCTTGATCGTCTTTATGTGTATGACTGTCCCCAAAGTGCTGGTAGTAACACGTTGTAATCACAAAGATGTTCTCCCCACAAAAGGTAATCTGCGGACGCGTGTGTCGAGGTACTCAGAGCTGGTGAACATGAAGCAGGAAGCCTTAACAGGTGTGTGTGGTGTGCGGCCACACTGGTAATGCTCTTTGTCGGAGTGTTATTCTCAGCTTTACATAGCAGTAGTTGGGCTTGCTACCCAAACTAAGTATTGCACAGCGTCACTACAAATAGTGCAGGTACGGCCGAGGTGGCGCAGGTAAAATGTTTTGCCGTCGTATTCCAGAGGCTACCATGAACGTGTAACACAATTACAAACAGATTAGTAAAACAAATGGTCGGGTCGGGAGGCACCTGCGTTCCTGCTTACTGAGTTACCACTGTTGGCGGATATTTTGTTTTTCTCAGACTTTTTCAATGTTAATGATTCCTCCACTGTGACACAACTCACTGTATTAAAATGGTAGTAACTGAGAACCAAGGAACCTACATCACGAAGCTTTACTGTTGAATTATATTTATTTGTTTTTTGTTCCAGTTCCTGATATTTAGTCTCGCTCTTAACTACGGTAAGGTTAATCACTTCTCATGACATATTCCTATAGTACATACAATGTCACGAACAAGCCGTAAATAAAAATATTAAAAAACTTAAAATTAAATAAAACAATTATGTCGAAAATCAGATCGTATCTCAAGTGCTAGAGACATCGGCTGGAAAAACAACTGACCAGCTGAGTACTTTGAGCTTCGCGCGGCTCCTGGAGAGACGGAATAAGGGAGATTTTGGGGGAAAGTTTAAAA